GTGTGTGTGTGTGTGTGTTCGTGTGTGTGTGTGTGTGTTCGTGTGTTCGTGTGTTCGTGTGTGCGCGCGCGTGTGTGTGTGTGTGTGCGTGCGTGCGTGCGTGCGTGCGTGCGTGCGTGTGTGTGTGTGTGTGTGTGTGTGTGTGTGTGTGTGGGTGCGTGCGTGCGTGTGTGCGTGCACGTCGCGGGTTGTAAACCAAAACAATGGAAACAATGATCACACGACACATTGAGTGAAGAGATTCTGAACAGGACACGACAGTGACGGACGTGCAAACAGCGCCTGCTTTGGGCGGGGGGTGAGGGCAAAAACATGCATGGTGTGCGCGGACCGAAGTTGAGACAGGTCCGCTCTCTTTCTTTTCTGTCTGCGCACACAACCCTCCCCCTTTGGAGAAGGCCGCCCGAAGGCGTTTGTAGCAGGTTCGGAGAAACCGAAAGCCCCCCCTCCCTCGCGCTCTCCCTGATACATATATAGATACATATATACATATATACATATATACTTCTATACATATATACATATATACATATATACATATCTACATATATACATATATACATATATACATATATACATGTTTACATGTTTACATATTTACATATTTACATACTTACATATTTACATATTTACATATTTACATATTTACATATTTACATATTTACATATTTACATATTTACATATTTACATATTTACATATTTCATATTTACATATTTACATATTTACATATTTACATATTTACATATTTACATATTTACATATTTACATATTTACATATTTACATATTTACATAGTTACATATTTTACATATTTACATATTACATATATACACATATACATACATACATATTACATATATACACATAGACAATACACACATACAACACACATAATATATACATACATACATACATACATACATACATACATACATACATACATACATACACACACATACATACATACACATACATACATACATACATATATACATAGACACATATATACATATACACATATATACATATATACATATTTACATTTATGCATACATACATATATACATATATGCATATATACATATGTACATGTATACACATATACATATGTTTCTATGTATATATGTACATATGTTTGTATGTATATATGTACATATATACATATATACATATATACATATATACATATACACACATATATACATATATACATATGCCAACAGAGCCTCCTATGATCCACAAAGCCTTGGTTCCAAAAGCAACACTATCAGTAAGGCTGTCCCCAACAAATCAATCGCATTAAATCAAGTTAACATCTTAAGGGGTGCGCAGTGTTCTTGCGCTATCACGGCAGGAACATCAATGGGTCGGCTCCCAAACATATGAGCGTACTGCATGGCAGCTGCAGCAAGGGGAACTCTGCAGAGACTCTAGCATGAGACCATCAGACCGGTTTCTTCCAAGCGCTTGCCCTCGCGGCTCTCTTCTGCTCCAGCTTCTCCTCCTTACGTTCTTTCCTTTTGAGCCTTGCAGTGCTCGCTTCTCCTCTGGTGCGACTGTTGTCCACGGAGTGAAAGACGAAGGCAGGGTAGTGGGAGTCCGTGTCATACATGCGGATTCGCAAGTCTCTATGGTCGAAAGGGATGTGGCCGTGTCTTTGCACGGCCAGATTTAAGAGTTGCGAGCCAGGAAGCTGTAGCCACCCGCAGCAATCGCCTTCGCAATTTCCCAACAGTTCTGTTGCGACTGGCTGCAAGTTGTTCCTCTGAATGAATATCCTCAGTTCATCCGACAACTGGCCCAAACCTTGATTCAGGTCAAGACCTAAAATGTCGCAAGAAGCCTCCACTGCCGCGGCAAATAACTGCTGCAGCAGATCTCTGGTTCGTCCTCTCTTTTCACGTGCCACCATGTTATTTAGGTGAGCAGACCCCACGACAAGATGCTGCAAAGGCCACCCCTCTGGAACTCTTAGGTCGAACTTGCCGAAGATCCCCCTCAAGGCCCACTGCCCCGACGGTAGGTCTTCAGTCACTGCCTGAACCAACTGCCCGCTCCGAGCCAGAAAATCCTCGGGCATTGCAACTGCCAATCCTGATTCTGCGACAGCGACGACACTGTATTCCAAGCTCTCCAACCGTTGCAAATCCATGAGGTCGCACTCCTGCATGGCTAAGTATGACCACGTGCCTGCAAGGAAGGCTGAGGTGTCGATTCCCTAAACCCTAAACCCTAAACCCGAAACCCTAAACCCTAAACCCTAAACCTTAAACCCGAAACCCACTCCTGCATGGCTAAGTATGACCACGTGCCTGCGAGGAAGGCTGAGATGTCGATTCCCTGGCGCACCGCGCCGGCGTTCCAGCATAAGCCGGATATCCGATTGTGCAGTCGCCGTGGATGAATCTGATGTCTCACCGCCTGCTCCGTGTAGTCAAAGCGGTACACTTCGCCGACTCCTGCCGCCTCGACCTCCGTGACCTCCGCAGTGGACGGCCGCTGAAAAATTTGCGACAAGGGCTGCTCTTCCTTTGCCAGACGTTGCGCCTGAAGGGGCCACTCCTCCGTGGGCCCCTTCAAACCGCGCTTGCGCTCCTTCCTTGTCCACGTCAGATCCATTTGCAAAGGCGGGTTAGCAAAAATCGCGGCGAAGAACTCATCCTCATTCCCCTGCGCAGCCATTCGCACAGCCTGCGGCGAATACGCAGACAGAATGACATCTTGTGTCAATGGCTTTGTCCGTCCCAGGGCATGAAAATGCGTCTCCTCGTGCAACATCGGACGTGGCTCAGGCAAATGCGGCCAATCAACCACTCTTTCTGGATACATGCGGTCCAATGCGTTCCAAGTCGACATGTATAATCGCGACACAGTCTTGGACACCCGATTGCCTCTTTGCATATCGAGTTGCTGGTACACCCAACTGGTTCCAAAGTCGCTTGCGTAGCGGAACCCTGCCCCAAATTGCGCCGCGGCGGCACGCGTCAAGTCTTCCAGACGGTCCTCCATGGCTGAGTCGCGCTGAAAGGAAAATCCCCTCACGCTTCACAAGAATGGTGCCTGTTCTTTTGCGACTCATACGAAACAATGGTTTACCAATCTTTATGGAGATCTTTCTGAATTAGCACGGGCTCCGCCAAGGGCGGGCGCAGGCCATCAGTTGGGTACCCTTTTTAAGATGCTTAAGGCAGTATAAGGGCCATGTTTGGAGTATATAAAAGGAGCCCTTAGGGGTACAACCTTAGGGATGCAAGTCTGAATCCCTTGAGGGTGCCTGATGTCGCAGCGGCGGACTATAAGTACCGTGAACTATGGTCTCAGCCTTGCTTGAGGCACAGACTGCACCACGACTCACCAACTCCCCACAAAAAGAACCCTGGGTCATAATGAAACAATGGTTTACCAATCCTTATAAAGATCTTTCTGAATTAGCACGGGCTCCGCCAAGGGCGGGCGCAGGCCATCAGTTGGGTACCCTTTTGAAGATGCTTAAGGCAGTATAAGGGCCATGTTTGGAATATATAAAGGGTCACCAACTCCCCAGAAAAAGGATCCTGGGTCATATGAAACAATGGTTTACCAATCTTTATAAAGATCTTTCTGAATTAGCACGGGCTCCGCCAAGGGCGGGCGCAGGCCATCAGTTGGGTACCCTTTTGAAGATGCTTAAGGCAGTATAAGGGCCATGTTTGGAATATATAAAGGGTCACCAACTCCCCAGAAAAAGGATCCTGGGTCATATGAAACAATGGTTTACCAATCTTTATAAAGATCTTTCTGAATTAGCACGGGCTCCGCCAAGGGCGGGCGCAGGCCATCAGTTAGGTATCTTTTTGAAGATGCTTAAGGCAGTATAAGTATAAGGGCCATGTTTGGAATATATCAAGGGTCACCAACTCCCCACGAACAAGACAAGAGTGACGGAACTGCGGGACTTGCGCAGTCCCGACGTGGACGCGCTTGGCGCCATGGTCTGAAACTTCGCGCTGCTTGAGAAGAGCTGGTACCGCTTGCAAGAAACTAACATGGCTTGGAAGCCTACTTGGCCCTTAACATGTTCGCCATCCTCATCTTCTTCTTTGCCGGACCACCCGAACCCGTGACGTCTACCGAACGCGCTGGAGGCGACAGCGGTAGTACCGGCGCCCGGCTTGAGGACGCCCCACCGTCCTGGACTTGCACACGCCCAGGCGGAAGGGGCACTGCCCTGTCCTGGTTGTTTTTCTTTGGTGCCATAGCAGTACAAGACTACCCCTACGACACGAGCACTACACCTCTGCCTCTGACAAACGCGCGACGCAGAGACTGCCAATATTTTTTTCCAATGCCCAGCTGCAACAGCTGTTCCGTGCTGGCTGAAACAGTCACAGCACGGCAAGCATTGAAAACGATCCTGTGTCGAAAAGGCTTTGACATCAAGGACTGAGACGCCAACCCTAGACCCTAAACATGCGAGACACCCTCACACTCACAGTCCAATATGCAAGAGCCTGGGCCACAGACATCAGTCATAGGTTTAGGGTTTAAGGTTTAGGGTTAAGGGCTTTGGGCGGGCGAGGGCCCCGGGAGCCCTGTCCGGGTGGTTTTCGCTTGCGAAACGACTGCAACGAAGGCACTTGTACGTTGTAGCAGCGATAAGTGCACTCTTGTGACACAGCCGGTGCCAACAAGATCTTTTTTTTAGCACGTTTCGCCTGAACTTTCTCCCCAACTCCCCAAACACGTATTGAAAGAGTATGGTCAGCGCGACCAAGGCCTAGCCTATCTTTCTGCATAATGATAGGCCGGGGCCTCACCCACAGTCCCAGTACATATGTACACATCCCTACTCAGACTCAGAGTGACCATCGTACAGCTGTTTCGCGTACTGAAACTGGCCAGATCGTCTGACGATGACGAAGAAAATGGATGTGGCCGCACGCACGAATGTTGGAACACATGAACTCACCGCACATCTGTTGAACCTGATCCAAGAGCTTGCGCTCTTGCTCACTACGGCTCTTCAAAGCTTCGAAGTTCTCATCATGCCGAAGGTCATCAAACTCAACATCATCATCGTCAGAGTCGCTTAGAATCCAACTGGGAGACTGCAAGACTAGCTCGACGCTTGTCGTGGGCAGCACAGATGGAAACAAGAACTCGAGCACTTGCCCCGAGCAGGAAGATGGTAGTGAAAGATAAGGCACTGTCATCCAGAATATGATGTCCTGGCGCTGTGCGTCGTGAAGTTCGATTTCTTGTAGTAGAACTCGGAGCCACGCTACGGTCTCTTGGCGAGTTCGTTGAATGGCCACCAATGGACGCGCGAAGTAGTTGCGCTCAGCAGCACGGATGCAAATGGGAAGCACGTTCCACACGAGCTGGGCTTCTTGCGCTATCACGGCAGGAACATCAACGGGTCGGCTCCCAAACATATGAGCGTACTGCATGGCAGCTGCAGCAACGGGAACTCTGCAGAGACTCTACAATCTACTACTGGGATATGTGCGGCTTTGGCGAATCGACGGAGAAAGTCTTGAATTCACAACTTCAAGAGGTCACCAGGCATGATGACTGCAACAAGCAGCCATGCAGAAAGCTCTTTTTCGGCTTTCTGGGTACTGCGTTACAGAGTTTCTCGCAAGCAGCATCAAACGACTGTACAGTTGAACTTGCTTGCCAAACTAGCAAAATGCGGTAATTCAACCAGAGTGTATGTACAGAAACAGAAACTGCCAGGTGCAACAGAGTGTATGTACAGAAACAGAAACTGCGCGCTGGAACCAGGTGCAGCAGAGTGTATGTACAGAAACAGAAACTACGCGCTGCATGAGCAATCTCGAACAGCTGTACGAGATCGAGCTTGCTCAGTCATGGCTTCAGAGCCTGCGCGCCTCGTACGCAGCTCGAACAATATTGCCGACAGCAGCGAACTTGTCCTGCTCGGCATGCCAATGATGCCATTGAAATTCACGCACCCGCTCATCAATGTTCCCTTCATCCGCTTTCGTGGACTTCGGAACCCCGATCAACTTCAATTGCCGCCACACATTATCTATGAGTTGGGTGCCTTTTTTCACCCATACCGTGTCCGCTTGGTCTTTGGGCAAACCCTTGACATGTGCTTTCCTGTAATCTCGAGGAAGGCGGTGCTTCCATGTAGCGGCATATATGGGGCTCGGACGCTTGTGTCTCACCGAATCGGTAACCACGCCAGGTATCTGCACGTACCTGTACGCACGTGCTCCGTCGCAGTGTAACAGGATTTTCCGATTCTTGAGATAACGGAACCCTATCTGCTTCCATTCTTTTTTGGATATGGGTCCCGGAGACACAGCAGAGCCCTTGCCCTTGCCCTTCAGCTTGACAGACGTTGACTTCACTCGCATTTTGACAAGGGTGAGGCTCTTACGGTTGCCGCGCTCGAGCAGACCGCAATACTGGAACCAGGTCACTTGTTTGCCTGATTTCTTTCCACGAACTGTGACCTCGTCGACTTCAGCTTGAACCCAAGTTCGAAGATTGCCGAAGAGCCGAGCTTCTTGTTGTCGTTGAACATAAGCCTTTACAGCTCTTCTCCATCTGGCAGACAGAGTTTGCACCGCCCTTGCTCCAAGGCCCGTCAGCACATGAATCTTGCCAGTGTCCACCCTAGTCACATTGCAGAAAAGAACCAGGACCTGTTGACGCAAAGAAATGAATGACTGGCCCCATCCAGTACAGAAGAATGGATGCCGTGCATGTGGAAGCACATACTTGTGACACGACTTCGCTTGACATCTTCTCACGTATCCTCGCTTCTTGTGCTTGAACAAGCCTGACAACTTTCCTGTTCTGCAATGTGGACAGCGTGTGAAGTTCCACAAGATTCCCAGCTTCAAGAGCAATTTGATGAGCCTGTTCTCGGACATCTGCACCAAGTCCGATAGAGAGCAACACCAGTGTTGGGATCGTAGCTCTGCCTTCTTCGCACTATCGAGCTGCTGATCTCGTGGTACGTAGGGAACGTGATCTGGCTTTGCGGAATGCGATTTCTGAGAAGGCTTTCGAAGCACCAGTCGCAACATCCCATGCTTAGGGCTCGGAAACTGCTTCATATCGCTCGTCTCAGAAATGTAGAGCTGCGTCAGAAAGCGATGAAGGGCTACTCTGGAAACGGCTGCGACAGCAGTGCTGGATGAAATCGATTTCGTGTGTTGAGTACCACAGCGACACTGGTGCCGAGCCCGCGCAATTTCGACAAGACTCTTTTGCATCAGTGCACGGTGCGCACACGCCGGAAGCAGACTGTACAATATTCCGGCCAGAGCCTGTCCTAGCACTGCTTTCGATGGACGGTAATAGGACATTCTTGAAGCACAGGGGCTATCGGCCTGCAATACGACAGCTCCTGCTCGCTCGTTGCCAAGAAGCCGTGAGCTGATGTGATTTTATAAAACTCCAACTGTACATCAAACATAAAAGCGAAACTAGACAAAGCGCATGGCAAAGACTCATTCTGCACGACAGTCAAGCTAGCGCTTACATCACAAGCAAGCTGTACACCGTAGAATATTGTAGAGTCAGAGAGTTTGTCACTCTGCAATATGACAGCCTCTGCTGGCTCTGCACGACTCAGAAATCATGACTGATTGGCTGGCTTGCTCTTGACCCTCACACGTTTACTGGTCGAGTTGGCGAGGGCAGATTTCAAAGCGGCACTAGATATGTTCGCGTATTGCATCAGGGCTGCCTCATATTCTGGCGATGAAGCTGAAGAGGGGCAAGTGAAGTTGTAGCTATCTGTGGCCGCATCGAAACTACCCAGAACTGACGGAGCAGCTTTGACAATAGCGCGAAAGTCCCCAAGAGAAGGCTGTTGCGTGAGCTGGTCCTTCGACCTCTGAAGGTTGTACACGCTTCGTGACTTGATGACACAGGTTTCTGCCCCCTCTGATGAAGCTTCCGCCTTGAGGAGCAACCGACGATAGAATTCGGTGTCAGGCAGTCCGGTGTGTTGTGCTTTCGGTTGCCAGTCTTGATCTTTGTTC